ACTGGCCAAAAGACAAACAGTTACTATTTACCTTCACTCTGAGCCAGGAGAGCCCCCCCCAAAAAAAAACCCAAAACAAACCAAACATTAAGTGGTGCTTGGGCAGGGACCTTTTGTTGTCCAATCCATGAGATCTGGAGTGAATTGGGTTTAAGGTTTGGTCTTTGAGAAAGAAATCTAGCCAGTAAACCCCAAGTTAAGTAGGCAGCTTTCAGCCTTGCTAGAGGCAAACAAGGAACTAAAAGAGAGAGTGGACTGGTAAAAAGAGCCTTGTGCTTCAGGGCCAGCCAGGGGGCGCCGTGAATAGAGCACCGGCCAGGGAGCCAGGAGGACCCGAGTTCAAATGTGGCCTCAGACCAAACATTTGACACTAGCTGTGTAACCCTGGGCAAGTCACTTAACCCCAATTGCCAAAAAAATAAGTAAAAAATAAAAGAGCCTTGTACTTCAACAGCTTCTGGAAGCATCACTAGATTATAGTATAGCAGTTGATAGCCCGAGGAGTAGCCTGGATTTATCAAAGACAACTTGTGTTCAATATTTTCATTAAAAGCTAGGATGTTTCCAGGAGAAGTTTGAGGTCATTAGGAAGCTTTAGAATTTCCTCAAGATCTCTCCTCATCTCTGCCTCCTGGCTTCCTTCAAATCTCAGTTAAAAACCTACCTTTTACAGGAAGTCTTTCCTGACGGGCCTCAATTTTACTGCCTTCCCTCAGTTGATTATTTCCAGTTTATCCTGTCTATAGCTTAGTTGTACCTAGTTGTTGGCGTGTTGTCTCTGCCATTAGAATGTCAGCAACAAGCATTGCTTATCTGCTTGGTTTTTCCTTTGTGAACGGTTAGGCCTAACTTTTAAGTGGTTATGGATGGCTTCCAGGGGGCTCTGCAGTCTTCCAAGAATACTAACACTTTACTGATGTTGTGTGGCTGTGACACGTGGAACACAACCTCTGAAGAGCTCAAAATGACTTTCACATAGAAGGTAATGAAGAAGTGGATGATGGGTGTGAGCAGGCTATGACCAGTGAGGAACTTTGAAGAGTATGGGTGGTTGTCACTGGGGGTTGAAAAATTAAAATGGGCACGTGGCAAGGGGACAGCAAAGGATCACAGGTGGACACCCCAGGTACTCCACTGGTAACTTCGAAATGTTAGGAAAAAGAGAGGATGGGCTTGAACATGTTGGGTGGACCCCTGTGGTAAGTATATGGGGAAGATATGGACAAGAATGTATAGGATGGGCAGGCACGGATGGGCTGTGATACGCATTGTTGGAAGGACTGTCCGAATGGATGAGGAGAGATCCATGTGAATATCTGAGTAGATTGCTTTAAAAGTCAATAAATATGTTTTTTGAGAGACTTCTAACCAAAGTGGTTAAAATTAAAATGTCGGCATTTAAAGAGTAAATGCCCATTATGGGGCAAATTTGCTGATTGAAAATCCTTCTTCCCAAAAGATTAAATTATAGAATCTTAAATTATAAATTTAAATATAAATAAAGGTTGAATTATAGAATCTGAAGAAATGGAAGGGAAGAGACCTCAGAGGTCATCTAGTCCAACCTGTACCTGAGCAGAACCCCCATCCTGGTAACCCTGACAAGCAATCGTCACCATCAGCTTGACAATTCCCATGAACGGAGCGCTCACTGCCTCTCTCTCCCTCCCATACTTTTGGACATTTCTAATTGTTAGGAATTTTTCCCCCTCCTTCTGACTCATAATCTGCCTCTGAACAGCTTCATCCAATGACCCCTGGTTCTGCCCTCTGGGGTTGAGCAGACCAAGTTTAATCCCTTATCCATAGGACAGCCAATCAAATGTTTATAATCTCGTGAGTTGCTACTACAGGTGCACAGCATGGCCTAAATAAATGATTTTTAATTTTTTCCTGGTATCTTTATGAAATTGGTGTCCAAATGCCAAGAGTAAACAAAGATTGAAAATCAACACATGATAGGAGGGCGTTGATAATCCAATTTTGAGGTAGTTGTTTTTTTCCTATTCCCTTTTTCTTTTAGATAAATCTACATAAGTTTCAACTTGAAATTTAAATGCATTTATATTTCTATATGTACAAATATACCCTCAATCAAGTTAAAAAAGCATTTATTGAGTCTGTTCTGCACAGGCACTATGGTGAGTGTGCTGGAGATACAAAGATCAAGACCACAAAGTCCCTGCCCTCAGGAAGCTTATATTTCACTGAAATCCCCCACAAGTAATCATTGGAATTCAATTAAACAGAGAGGGTTCTTGTTATCAACAACTCCTTCCTGCTGAGTGGTAAGACCACCTGAGCTGGGAATGTGATTCTCTGGCTCTGGAACACTTGTGGGTTACATGAACAGAGCATGAGACTTTGATATAGGGAGCACATGCTCTGCTACATGTCTCTGGGCAAATCCCTTGACCCTGCTGGGTAACGGTTTCCTTATCTGTAAAATGAAGGGATTGGATTAGAAGATTTCCCAGGTCTTCCTTCCATCTGCAAAATGTAGCAGGGATAGAATGCTAAAGGAAAGGGCACAGGACTTGGAGTCAGTGAAATTGAGTTAAATTCTACCTGGGAACTTAACCGTGTGACCTGAAGTGACTTTTTCTGCCCCATTTTGGGGCAGAGGTTGGATCTTTGAGGTACCATCCCGTTCTAGAGCTCAGATTTAGAATTTAGAATAGAAGCAAAGAGAAGGGAGGAGGGGGAAGGGAACCAAGCTCTTATTAAGCACCTGCTATGTGCCAGGCACTTTATAAATATCTCATTTGATCCTAACAACCCTGTGAGTAGAAAGCACTAGATCTGAGAGGGCATGACCTGGGTGCCAGCATTATCTCTGCTGCTTAGTACCTCTGTGACCTTGGGCAAGTCACAACCTATCCATGCTTCACTTTCCTCATTTACAAAATGAGGTTTGAACTAGGTAGCCTCTGGGGTGCTTTCCAGCATTGTAGTCTTTGTTCCTATGAATTCTAGCTCATCTACTCCAGAGCTGGGTATGTGTCCTGGGCACTGGACCTTTCTGGGCCTCAGTTTCCTTAGCTGTAATATGTCGAGGCAGATAGAATGCTTGTTGAGTTTGGCAGCAGGGAGATGAGTTTGAACCCTGCCTAAGCCAACTAAATCTTTCTGGGCCTCAGTTTCCTCATTTGTAAAATGAAGAGGATGGACTGCATGGCCTCTAGGCTCCCTTCCAGCTCATTCAGTCAATCAATCACCAAGTATTTGTTAATGCCTGCCAGGAGCTCATCGTTGGGGATAAAAATACAGAGAATGAAAGAATCCCTATTGTCCAGGAGTTTCCTGTAGATCAGAGGTTCTTCACCTGGGACCGATGAATGCTTAAAAAAAAGTAGCTTGATAACTGTATTTGAATATAATTGATTTCCTTTGCAATCCTGTGTATTTTATTTTATTAATCTAAAAACACTCTTCTTAGATGATCAAACCATCTCCTGCATCCCGGGATTCCTTCAAGTCCCAGCAAGAAGCCTTCTCCCTGTGGATTGGCTGCAACTCACACAGGCTCATTCCCTCTCCGTATGTTATGGATATGTTGTATGCATGGATATGTGTATATATGTGTATGATGGATGCATGATGTATGCATGTACATGATGCATGTATATGATGTATGTGTATGATGTATGTGTCTGTGTATGATGTATCTGTGTATGATGGGTGTATATGTGTATGATGGATGTATGATGGATGTATGTGTATGATGGATGTATGTGTGTATGATGTATCTGTGTATGATGGATGTATCTGTGTATGATGTATGTATGTGTATGATGGATGCATGAGTATGATGGATGTATCTGTGTATGATGGATGCATGTGTGTATGATGTATATATGTGTATGATGTGTGTATAATGCATGTATGTGTATGATGGATGTATCTGTGTATGATGGATGTATGATGTATGCATGATGGATGTGTAGATGTATGTAATGTATATGATGTATGTATATGTGTATGATGGATGTATGTGTATGATGGATGTATATATGTGCATGATGTGTGTATGGTGTATGTATGTGTATGATGGATGTATGTGTGTATGATGTATCTGTGTATGATGGATGTATCTGTGTATGATGTATAATGTATCTGTGTATGATGTATGATGTATGTATGTGTATGATGGATGTATCTGTATGATGTATGTATGATGTATGTGTGGATGTATGTATATGTATATGATGTATGTATATGTGTATGATGTATGCATGTGTATGGTGGATGTATGTATGATGTAGATATGTGTATGATGGATGTATGTGTATGATGGATGTATCTGTGTATGATGTATATATGTGTATGATGTATGTATGATGTATGTATGATGTATGATGGATGTATGTGTGTATGATGTATGCATGTGTATGGTGGATGTATGTATGATGTAGATATGTGTATGATGGATGTATGATGGATGTATGTGTATGATGGATGTATCTGTGTATGATATATATGTGTATGATGTATGTCTGATGTATGTCTGATGTATGATGGATGTATCTGTGTATGATGTATATATGTGTATGATGTATGTATGATGTATGATGGATGCATGTGTGTATGATGTATCTGTGTATGATGGATGTATCTGTGTATGATGTATGTATGATGTAGATATGTGTATGATGGATGTATCTGTGTATGATATATGATGTATGTATGTGTATGATGGATGTATCTGTGTGATGTAGATATGTGTATGATGTATGTGTGGATGTATGTATGATGTAGATATGTGTATGATGTATGTATGATGTATGATGGATGTATCTGTGTATGATGTATGATGTATGTATGTGTGTATGATATATGATGTATGTATGTGTATGATGGATGTATCTGTGTGATGTAGATATGTGTATGATGTATGTGTGGATGTATGTATATGTATATGATGTATGTATATGTGTATGATGTATGCATGTGTATGGTGGATGTATGTATGATGTAGATATGTGTATGATGGATGTATGATGGATGTATGTGTATGATGGATGTATCTGTATTCACAGTATCTTCTTTTCAGATTGTCTCCCCCATTATAGACAACGCATCAAGTGCAGAGAGTGTCTTTTGCTTTCTTTGTGTTCTCAGCGCTATTATTCGTGGCTTTATTAGCACAGTGCTGGGCACGTAGCTGGTGCTTAATAAATGTTCATTGACTCTTTTCCCCTTTGTATCTTGAGCAGTTGGTGGAGTACCGGCACACAGTTGGTGCTTAATAATGTTCATTGACTTTTTTTTCCTTTGTGTCCCGGGTACTTAGTACAGTAGCCAGCACACAGTAGGCGCTTAAGAGCAAAGGGTCCCATGACACAAGCAAGGCTAACAAGTCTCGGCATTTAAGTTACTACGGACTCCCTTCCACCCTGAAGTGCGGGCTGGGGGAGGGATTCGGGAGACGCCTTGGGGGCGTGGCCCCGCAAGTCACTCACTGCCAAAGGGGTTAAGGCCACTGGGGGCGGTGCCAGGTCGAAGCCCCACAGCGCCACCCGCAGGCAGGACGCAGACGCGCACGCGGGGGGACCGAGCTGAAGCTAAGGGCGGGGAGAAACAAAGCCCCCGGCGGCGTGGGGAGAGGGGGTGTCCGCGCGCTGCCCTGGCAACGCGTGCCGGCCCCGGCCCCGGATTGGCTGCGGCGGCGGGCGGCGCGGTGTCTCCTGGGAGCGCGTTCCCGCCGCGGCGGCAGCGCCGGTTTGAACTTGGCGGCGACGGCGGCCCTGGCCTCAGCGGCGGGCTCCGTTCCGCCTCCCCTCCCCCGCCCCGGCCCCGGCGGCGCCGCCGCGGCCATGGACGCTGAGGAGGGCGCGCTGCCGCCGCCGCGCAGGCGAGGGGAGGCCCCCGGCGGCTCGAGCCCGGCGCCCGCCTCGCCGCTCTCCCTGCTGCAGAGCGACAGCGACGGCGCCGAGGAGCGGCAGCAGCGCCGGGGGCGGAGGCTGCACCGGCCCGAGCCCGCCAGCCGGGACCGGGGCGCGGCGAAGCCGCAGTCCGAGCCCAGTGGGTCGGAGGAGAGCGAGGAGGCCGAACGGAGGGTGGGGGCCGCGTCCTCGGAAGAAGGGGAGACCTTGGGGAGCGCCAGGTAAAGAACCCGCCCCCCGGCCCGGCCCGGCCCCCGGGAGCGGAGCGCACCTCGGAGGACGCTGAGGCTGGGCCGGGCGGGCCACGCTGGGCACCTCCCCCTCCTCCTGGTCACGCCCCCGCTAACCCGCCCTCAGCCCAGGCCGCTGGACCTGCTGAACCTCCCTCCCTCACTCCTTCTCTTCCTTTCTCCTTTCCTCCCTCCCTCTCTCCAGTCCTTCCTTCTTCCCTTTCCCCCTTCTTGCTTCCTTTCCCCCCTCCTTTCCTCCCTCTCTTCTTTCCTTCCTTCCTTTTCTCCCTTCCTCCCTCCCTCTCTTCCACCTCTGAGCCCTGATTTCCTTATCTTCTAATATTTGTATTTCCCCAGGAGATCTCTCTCTTCTCAGGGCCTCCTTTTACTCATCTGTCAAACCAGGGCATTGCATTAGATGACTTCTAAGGACCCTTTGCTGTTCTGAGTCTTTGATCTCGTCCATGTTTGTAAAGCACATTCAGCTTCAAAAACCTAGGCAGAAAGAGGGCTGGGTCGGAAGACCAGGATTCAAGTTCTGCTTCCAGTATGTACTGCCTGTGTGGACTGGACTTGCCACTTAGTTCAGGGCCTCAAGAAGACTCTTTTAAGATCATAACTTTCAAGGAATTGGAAGGGAAGGAGAGGGGTGTGAAGGAAGAGCCTGCTGATCTGCACGGGTAGAAGTTCCTTGCTGGGAACTCCCTTTACCAAGGAAATCACAGGACTAGTTTCCTTCTCCTTCCAGAAACTCCCTCACACAAAAAGAAATTGTAGAACCTCAGAAAAGTAACTCCTGGTATCTTTAGGCAATGAGAGTTTGTCTTTATTTCCATAGTGAACAGAGTAGAAGCTCAGTAAATGCTAGTAAAATTGAAATTGAATGCTACTGTTTTAAGGTGGTGCAAGGGAACTTGGCTTATTGGAGAAAAGACTAGCCTTAAGAGTCAAGAACACCTTGATTCATTCAGTTCTTGCTTCCACAGTGTACTAGCTGTTATCACCATAGGCAGCTGAGTTATGTAACTGGTAAGAGTTCCCAGGCAACACTTCCACAGTTGTGGAAAGCCAGATGATAAGCAGTGGTGGTATGCTGGTGGAGGAGGCAGTTTCTATAAACTGATGAAATTTCAGGTTTGGACTCCCCTCCCCCACCGGCAAATTGATTATTTATGAGGTAGATCTAGTGAATCACACTGTCCCTGTATTATAGAGACTGAGAAGTTAGCCAGTACATCCAGAGATTTCTAGGGAGGTAGCGTAGGAAGCAAAGAGCTTTGAATTTGGAGTCAGAAAACTAGAGTTTAAATTGAGCTTTGTCTTTCGCCCTGTGTGACCTTAGGCAAATCACTTAAACTCTAAGCCCTATTTCCCTCCACACCAAAATGAAGAGTTTGGACTGGGTGATCTTTTGATTTCCTGTCCAGCTTTTAATCCTTTAGGTATAGAATCCAGTTACTTTTCAATGTTGCTATCAAGTCATGTCATTTACCTACATATAATGTGGTAGAAGCAATAGTTTAGAGTCAGAAGGAACCTTAAAGAATGTCTTGTTTATCCATCATTTTGAACATGGGGAAACTAAGACCCAATGAAAGTTGAGTGTCTTCTCAGAGTCCAAAAGCTATTTTAGTAGGAGGAGTAGGACTGGAATCCAAATCTGTCTACCTAGTGTACTTTACTCTAAACCAGGTCTGCACAACTTGTATAAGGGGCCCAAGGGCACTCTACATTTTCACAGGCTGCCTGAAATGCTGTGGTGGGCCGAAGGTTGTGCAGGCCTGCTCTAGACTGTCTTCCTTTTGAAAGTCCTTGAGATACCGATATCTGTCAACATAAGAGCACGTATCATAATCTTCCTTTTCTGGAACTGCTCATTTGGTGCAAATCTGTCTTGGTGTGGGCCTATGGTATTATTATTATTATTAAAAGTTAATAGAGTCATAGAAGCTTAGAGTTGGAAGTGATCTTAGAGCGTGTGTGTGTGTGTGTGTGTGTGTGTGTGTGTGTGTGTGTGTGTTTTCTGCCTCTCAGTAGATGTTAGACATAGGTACAATATGATGGATTTTTTAGATGGAATTTTAGATCAGGAAAAGACCTTAATTCACCACTTTATAATGTAGTCCATTCTGTTTTTAGGCTACTTTAATCATTACAAAAAATTTCCCAACATTCAGCTTAAATCTGCCTCATTTCCAGGTGTGCTAGTTTTCCCCTGTGGGGACAAACAAAAGTCAAATCCTTCCATATGTTGTTTCTGTGATCAAGAACCCCCTACATTTTCAAGCTAAATATCTCCTGTTCCTTCTGTAAATCTTAGCTCTCTAATTTGTCAGTCTTTCTTGAAGTGTGCTATCTTGAACTGAATATGGTACTCTTCTTGTGCTCTGACCAGGACAGACAATAGTATAATACCTTCCTCATTCTTGACACTATATGTTAATGTTGCCTAAGATCTCATTAGCTTTTTTGGCTGCCACTTCACGCTCCTGAATCAGTTGTACTTTTGCAGTCCACTAACCCCCCAGGTATTTTCCACATCAACTATGGTCCAGTCATACCTTCTTCCTTACATACTTGCTCGATTAACTTTTTGAAACTAAGTGCCCAGCTTCGTGTACCCTATTAAATTTTTTATTAGACTCATTCAGTTCTGTCTTACCATGGTAGTTGTTTTTGTTTGTTTTGTTTTGTTTTGTTTGGGGTCCTGATCCATTTATCATCTATATTAATTATACCTACCCTTTGTGAGCTACCTACAGGTCTGGCAAACGTGCCATTCATGTCATCTTCTGAATCATTGAGAAACCAGTTGAGTACAACAGGGCCAAACAGAGGCCCACAGCACACTTGCTTTTTGGTTGACCTTAAACTGACTCCTTTCAAGTTGATATTTTCTATTAGTCACCATTCTGTCGGTTAATTGATCTACCAGTTCCAAATCTATCTGACCATGCTGTTAGAGATAGGCTACAATAGAAGGCAGGGGTAGTGGGCCAGACAATTCCTAAAGACAGTGGAGTCTAGTCTTAGCCATTCAAATTTAGGCTTCATTAGGCCTGCCCTCAGCAGCCAGGAGCTGAATTTGACCTAAAAGAAAATCACCACAATCAAGATTACACTGTACTTGGCAGTTACCGTGGTGATGGAAAGGAGAGCTTGGATGACTAGTCCAAAAGACATTCTCAGTGAAGACATCAGAAGACAGTTTGGAATGGAAATGCAGGAAATGAGACAAGATCTCTGTGTCCAGGTCTGATCTTCTCTCAAGCTCTGTGGTCTTCCTGCCAGGCATCTCCCCAATAAGTATCCTTTAAGGATCGCAAACTCAAACTCAACAAGCTTGAAAACTGCATCTGTCAGATTTGCTTTGTTCTCTTCTAAACTTTCCTGCTTCTATTCAGTGCATTACTGTTCTTCTGGTCACTCAGTTTCACAGTCTCATTGTCACATTGAACTCTTTCCTCATCTTTACCCATCATAACCAATCATTTGTCAGCTTTATTGATTCTTCCTTCACTAAAACTCTGTTCTTTACTTTTATCCATTCACGTGGCTATCTCCTTAGTTCATACCTTCATCACCTCACCTAGATTACTGTAATAGCCTGGTTGATGTCCTTTAATTTTCATTGTCTCCCTTCTCTGATACATCCTCTGTACAGCTGCCAAAGTAATCTTCCTAAAACACAAGTTCTGCCACGTCACTCCTCGTTCAAAAGCCTTCAATCCCCTACTTCCTCTAGGAGAAACTGTTAACGTGTGATGTTACTATTTAAAGCCCTTCACTGGCTGGCAGTACATCATCCTTGACACTTCATTCCAACCAAGCTGGCTGATTTGCAATTCCCTGATCTGCAAAGTCTTATACCTTCCACATTTCTTCATGCTTCCCCCACCCCCACCTCTACCTCTTAGAATATCCTTTGTTTCCTTCAAAGCTCAACTTCTGTTACTTTCTGTAAGAAGCCTTTTCTGATCTGCTGGTTAGTGCTTTCTCTTCAGTCCTCATGCTTCCATGTCATATCCTTCCAATAAAATAGAAGCTCTTTGAGGACAGAGAGTATATTTTATTTTGTGCACATAGCTCCTGTGCTTGTCATACTGCTTTGTGTGTAGGCAGTTAATAGTACTTGTTGGATTAAATAGTTGTTGTGAAACCAACTCCACTGATCCTTTTGTTTTGCCTCTCCAGTAAGACCCTGTGGTCCATCCTTCCATTTAGCTGAGATTTCCTTTTGTCTTCTGGTTTCATTTATTGTGAGGACAGTGATATTGAGATGGTTCATTTCTCCCAGTAGTATGTCAATTCATTAATCTTGGGATAGCGATCTCATATTCATAGTAACTAGATAGATGGTCTAAATATGGAATGAAACCTCATACCTTCTGCTCCCTTTTCTGCTACTCTAACACTGACATGGCAGAAATGGAAGGATATTATCTATGACTGAGGACCATGTATTTAGTGGGGGTTTTTTCCATGTGTTGCCAAGCCAAATAATTCATTACCTAGTGGCCAACCTGTTGGTGATTAGTTTTAGTTTAGTTATTAGCTTGGTTCTTTGAAGGCAGACACAGTCTGTCCCTAGAACCATACTCAAAGCCTTTTCAACATGGTAGAATCTGCCGTATGATATTTTGCTAGTGTAACCTTTGAGACCCCAGGCCTATCTCCATTCTAAGATTAGGCATTACAGTAGGATTTTTATGGAGAATTAAATGATAGCTAACATTTGTGTTATTTTAAGGTGGACTGTGTGATTTCCTCATAAGAGTCCTTTGAGGTAGATAAGATGGTAAAAAATATTGTCATCCCCATTTTATCAATAAGAATAAATGTGTTGAGCCTCAGAAGGATGGCTTGCCTGTGGTCATGCACCTTACTAAGTGTGAGAGCTGAAACTGAAACCCTGGTATTTTAACTCTGAAGTCTCTTGCCCTTTCCACTTTAACTTGAAGTAAAATTTTGGTTTCTGAAAGGAACTAAAAAAAAATTCTAGCTAGTTCCTATATGCCATGTGTAAATACAAAGATAGCTCAGTGATTAGTACTTAATGTCTTTTGATTTTATTGATGTGGTTTGTCCTTAGTTAAGCTAATCATAAGCTGTTAGGACACATGGTCTTTATGAATTGCTGTGGCTGAAAACATTCATTAACCTTGATGACTGGCCTTCTGGTGGTCATACTGGGGAAAATTTGAAGGTTTCATTTTTTATGAACTCCTTCAAAATGTAAGTCTCCTTTATTGAATATAATAAAATGTGTATTACATTTCACCTTTACTTTATAAATCAATTTGGCTGTTAGGTCAACAACTATTTATTAAACAATTTAGAGTGTCTTCTTTTTCAACAGAATTAAAGAAAGAGAAAATTTGGAAAAAGGACATCAGTGGCTTGTGTTAGAGGCTAGTCTGACACCATGGGAAGAGTGGTTTGTTTGCAAAGAAAAAGAACAACGTGCTCGTCTACAAAACAGAGCTTTGGAGGTAAAAGCGAGTTTGTTTTTTTTTAACGTAATAGCCATATGTGAGCTTGTGGATGTATTTCTCAGTTTCAGTGAAAATTACCATGAATCTCCTTAGTGTCCTGATAATAAATTAACAAGATAATTTTTGCATTTGGTTCCATCAGTGTTTAATGTTCTGTGAGCCTTGATGCTAAGTATTTGCTTTCATTCAGTTTTGAGGGATATTCATTGAGCACTAATCTCTTGTGCGAGGGGAAGAGGCAAAAGGTCAATAAAACATAACTCCTTTCCTAGAGCACATTAGAAAATGAGGCTTAGAAGGTTAAATGACTTTCCCAGGGCCACATAGCAAGTTTATTTTAAATCTGGGACCAGCATCAAGGTCTCTTGGCTCCTAAGTCCAATTCTGATCCTGCTGAATTAGTATGCTTCTTCCCAGAGATAAATGAGTCAGTCTTCATTTTTCTTATTGAACCTGTCTTATGTTTTCACTCCTTGCTTTAAGTTGTAGGCATTAAAAAAAGGCATACATCTGAGTAAAAAACTATGAAAGTCTAAATATTTGACCTTGACTGCTACTTTACAATCTGTCTGCAATATTGGGTTAAGAACTTCTTACCCAGCACAATTACCCACATGTATTTTCATACTTAATAATACCAAAGAATGGATCACATATTAGGCATTAGAACGTTCAAAAAAATGGAGTCACTCATTATTTTAATTCATATTTTTGCTCTCAAATTATTTAACTTTTCTGTGTGTTGATTTTTTCTCCCCCTCCAAACAGATAGCAAGAATGTTTCAGGAAATGTACTTGTGATGAAAAAGGAAGGATAATTGATAATTAGGCTTTTGATAGTTGGAAAAGTTGTTTTAGAGTGAAATGAGGGTAGATTAGTTCATATGTGAGGTAATGTCTTAGAGGGAGATCATCATTTCACTCTCCTATTCAGTAAACTCAAGTGGCTCCCTATTCTCTTCAGGATCAAATATAAAATCTTCCCTTTGTGTATTAAAGCCCTTCATAACCTGACCCTTTCCTGTCTTTCCAGATTCTTACATACTACCAAGCCAGTGATACTAGCCTCTTTTGCTATTTTTAGTACAAGACTCTCCTTCCTCTGACTCTGGACATTTTCATTGGCTGTCCCCTAGACCTGGAATTCTCTCCTTCCAACTCCTGACTTCCCTGTGTTCCTTCATATTTTAGCTAATATAATAATCCTACCTTCTGCAATAAGCTTTCCCTGATCCTCCTTAATGTCGGTGCCTTTCCCTCTAAGAATATCTTTAGTTTATTTGATAAATAACATGTTTGTACCTAGCAGTTTGCATTTTGCCTCCCCTATTAGACAGTGAGCTCCTTGAGGACAGAATCTGTCTTTTGCCTTTCCTTACATCCCCAATGCTTAGCATAGTATCTCGCACACATTAGGTGCTTAATAAATACTTGTTGAATGACTGCCTGATTTTAGGGATGGATCCGTGGGGGAGGAGTTGGTCTTTTATGTGGAATCTATGTTGCTAGGGTAAGACTCTATTGGTTGGGAACTTGGAATTATGGGTATTATTTTTTCCTAAGTAAATGATTCTCTAAGGAAGTGGTGTCAAACTCAGATAGAAACCAGGGCCACTGAACTGTTCATTAGGATCCCTGAGGGCACATATTGACTTAGAAAATCACGTGTTAACATTATTTATGTCTTATTGTATTTTTATTTATTTTGTTAAATATTTCCAAATCACACTTTAATCTGGTTCAGACCACACCTGGGGTGTGTTTCGGTCTGTGTGTTTGACACCTCTGCAGTAGGGAATTGAGAAATTGTGTCTCCCTCAGTCCAGGGTTTGTAATAGGAGAGGGTAGGAAACTATTTAAGAGCTGCATTCTTGAAGAGGAAAGAAAAATAATCAGTAAATGACTAAATTTTTAAGCTGTCCAAAATGGACCAGGCTCAGAGTTAATACAGTTAAGTTGTATGCCCTAAGGAATGACAAACTGATGAAATTCTGTTTGTAGGTTATCTCTCTGGACTGTTCACATTCTTTCTCTGGAAGAAGTGCTCAAACTTGCAGAGTCAAGTGACGACAAAGCAGTTAAATATGGATATGAAGTCAGTTTCATTTTATGCCCCAGTTACTATAATGTCGCTGAAAAACTTGTGGGAATTCTTTTCTTCTGCAAGAAAAATTCTCCCTGTGACCTAGGTCTGAAATCTCTTAACTATTCAGCTTCAGGGATACTTTAATTCCTATCCTTTTTAGCAAAAACTTAGAAGTCTTTCTTATTACCTCCCCCAATCGTAGTAGTTCTTTTGAATTATCTTGTTGGTAGTGTACTATGGTATTAAAATTTACATGTTGAAAAGTTGTCAGTAAAATACAGTTATAGTTGTATAGTTGAAATTTATGGTAAGAAACTAGCGTAATAGTACTACGCAGATATTGCATCTCTAAAAAGTTACTTAGGTTTTTTAAAAAAAATTAACTTTTTTTTAGTTGGCAAAAAAAGATTCTTTCCCTTCTATTCCCCTATTTGGAAAAAAAAGGAGGGGAGGGGAAGCAAAACACTTGTAACAATCATGCATAGTCAAGCAAGACAAATTCCCCCATTGGTTATATCCAATAAATATATTTCCCTTCTTGCATCCTGAGTTCTTCCCCTCTGTCAGGAGGTGAGTGGCATACTTCATCATCAGTCCTTTGGAGTCGTGGTTGGTCATTGTATTGATCAGAGATCTGAAATCTTTCCAACTTGTTTGTCTTCAGGATGTAGTTGTTATTTTATAAATCATTCTCCTGGTTCTTCTCATTTTACATATCCATCTTTTATACACCTCTTCCAGTTTTCTTTGAAGGCATCCTTTTTCATAATTTCTTATAACATAGTATATTTCATTATATTCATATATCAGCATTCCCTGGTTGATGGGTCCTGCCTTAATTTCCAGTTCTTTACCTCCACAAAAAGAGCTACTGTAAATATTTTTTTTGGATGGATGCTTTTCCTTTTTCTTTGATCTCTTTGAGCATAAGTCTAGTAATGGTATTGCTGGGTCAAAAGGTATGCTCAGTTTGGTGATTTTGGGGGTGTGGTGCCAAATTATTTTTAGAATGGATTCATAGTTCTGTCAACAGTGCATCAATTAGTACCTATTTCCTTAGTTTTTTTTTTTAATTAAAAATTTTAAATCCTAGCAATCACTTAGGGTAGTAGTACCATTTTTATTATATATAGTTATACATATAATTATATGTGGTTTTACATGTGATTTAAATATATTATTGGATATTCCCTTTTTGTTTTGAAAAACTAGGAACTAAGTCTACAACAAGAAAAAAGAAAAGAAGTGGAAGAGCGTGAAAAAAGAAAAAAATATGCGAAGGAAAAACACAAGGAGTGGCTTCACAAAAAGAATGAACAGGTAAGAATTAGGCATTGAGGGTCAGGCCAGGTCCCCTTGTTACTGTTTTCCTGGTTCTCTTCTTCCCATTCCTTAATCTCTCTCCTTTTTTGGGGGGGGGGTCTGTTTCTTCTTCCTTCTCCTGCCTTTTCAGCATTTCTTCTTCCTGCTCTTGCCTTTTCAGTGGAGGAATTCCCCAGGTCCTTGCCTTTGCCCTGTCCTCTTCCTCCTACACTCTCTTGGACAGTCTTGTGTGCTTGCCCAACTTCACAGTCACCTTTGGTGCAGATGACTCCCAGTCCTGTGCCTCTTCAGCCCTTCACCTTCAGTGACTCTGATGTTTCCACCTAGACATCTCACCAGCATCTCAAACTCTCAGCCTTAATGGGATTTCTGCTCCTTACCTGTGGGACTTTGGACAAGTCACTTAACCAATCTTTGGTCTTCAGTTTCCTCTTCTCTGCAGTGAGATGACCTCTAGGTGCCTTCCTACTTTAAATTTGTATCCTTTGAAATTACCATTTTTTCTCCAAATTTTTTCTTCCTGATTCTTTGTTTCTGTTGAATGGTATTGTCATTCCCTCAGTAAACTAAACTTGAGAACTTATCTTTCTCCTCCTCCCTTTCCCTTTCTTCTCCCTTCTAGCTCTTCTTTAGTCTTCTTTCCTTAACAATGTAATATCTCTTGGCATGTATTAACTTTGTTGTGTTCCTATGACTACCACCCAATTCAGGTCCTTATTACCTTTTTCCTGGGTGATAGTTTCCTAATCTATCCTGGATTTGTTGTTAGATTATTCTTGATAAAGCGTTTTTTTGATTGTGTCAGCTTGCTCAGAAGCCATCTATGAGATTCCTGTTGTTTGTGGGATAAAGTCTGAACTCCTTAGCCCCTCTTTTAAGGCTTTCCACTGTAGGGCCTCAGCTTACCTTTCTCATTTTATTTCCTAATGTACCTCTCTACAGCACTGCAGCTTGACCCTCCCCATTTCCGTTTTTTAGCCTGAACCAGCCTCTTGTAAGTGCCTATGCTTTTTATCATTCTTGTGGTGCTTATCACATACTGCCTTGGATGTTAGAGGTTTTTTTAAATGTTTCTTGTGTTCCCTTCTATAACAGGCTCCTTGAAAGCCACACCTGGCTTGCCTTGGCTTTCCTTGCTTGTTGGTAGTTGGTACTCAATAAATATTTGGTGAATGAGTCATTTGTGATTCATTTGTGATCCATTCACTTGGTGGATGACAGTGTAAAATGAAAAATGGTCATTTTCATAGCAGTTTTGAGTACACCATGTTTTCCATTCTAATTTTATTCACTTAAAGGGGTAGTGCTTTCAGTACTAATTTTTATATTAAGTATAATCATGATTGTGCTTTTTCATAGTTACAGTAAAACCCCATCAGTTTATACTAATGAGGGGCTTCTGAATTTCAGCAAAATGTTTTGATTTTTCTCAGTTATACTTTGTGTAACCAGTTACAGAGTCTCCCTGGTAGTAAGGTATAGTGACGGGGGCCTAGGACCACAAGTCTGGGAATCTGGGTCTAATCCAGGGCCTGACATGAACTATGTGACCTTGAACATGTCACTTAACAAGCTCTCTAAGCTTCAGTTTCCTTAACTGTAAAATAATGGGAATTGGGCAGGTTTCTCACTAAGATTGTTGCCATCAGTGAAATCCTGTGAGTCTTATCTTCTCCCACAAAATTCTACTCCAGACACTGGGCCAAGACAGGGCCCCTCTCCCCATTCTTGGTGTTGTTATCTTCTTATATGAAGGCCATCTCTCTGTCTCTCTCCTTGACTTTAGCACTTCACGTACAGCATTTTTTTCTCACTTCATCCCTTGCCATTAATCTTGGGTATGACAATCCCTTTAACCCCCTGAACATATAGAGCAGGCCTGGCCCACCAGAGGATTTCTTCTACATACAAAGGATGTTTTCCTCTACAGTTTTTGCAGGCCTTTCAAAATCCTTTGGCATGCTGCAAGCGACCCAAGGGCTGCAGGTTATGCAGGCCTGATATAGAGCATCCTATTCCAGAAACACCTTCCACCATACTTCAGCCAGCCCAATCCTGGTGTGATTGCCACCTCTCCAATCCCTGTCTCTGGCTGCAGCCTCTTCTCTTTCTTCTCTGACTCCTTCACTTCCACCAGAGCTGCCTTTGGCCCTCATTGTGTCCTTTTGTGCCTTCACCCCTCATTCTCTCAGTCTGTTTCTTCCACTCTGGTTTCACTTGTCTTCATATCCAGCCTTGATTGACCTAATCGTCATCCCCCTGGAATCCCTCATTTTCCTGACTGTCCACTATTCTACCTATAATTGTCAACTCTTTATTCTTGCTCCTGGACTGCTCAGGCTCACTGGAGAAAGTTACAAAATGGAGTCCATGCTGCTGCGTTATGTTAATGGTGTCTCTCCTCTGAAGGTGGTTAAGTACTTAACACATTCCCTCGATGATGGGGTGGGAGAATGACTCTCTCCCAGTCCATAAAGGCTTCCCGTAAGTGGCTTCCAAATTATGTTACTAATTTTGTCCATTTAAAGTCTGTGTGCCTCAGCTTCCTTCTCTGTGGAGTTTTATGATGTTAATCCTCTCTACGAGTAGCCAGTCCATCACTGTTTTTCATGTAATTCTCAACATTTTCCCTCTTATTTTCATACCACCTTCTTAAAGATCAGTTAAAAATGACATGATGAGTTTGTTATTTTTAGTCTTTGCATTCTAAAGCTAAATAGAAATGTTTTTGTACCACTTTGTTTTGAACTCTGCACCTCTGTTCTACTTATACAGATGCATAATTGAGAGTTAACGTAAAAGGTCATTTTCTGTTATGAGAAATACTCATATATATGTATATAATATAACAAATATAACAAAACAAATATAATAATATGAGATGTATATGAGAAATACTTATTAAAATCTGAGGGCATTTTCCATAGCCCTTTTAGATGTTCATTTCAGTTAAAGAGAGTGTTAAATCTGTGCTGTAGCTCTTTGCCATCTGTGATAAACTTTTTTCTTCCACAATAACAAACAAATTTGAGTAACACACATAATTTGACCATGTCCCTAATTATTATTGAGCTAGTGCCTGCTTCTCTGTAACTTCCTCCTTCTTGTCCTCCCTTTCCTCTCTGGGACCAAGCGAAATAGCTTTCATATGATAGACTTTCAGGTAGCTGAAGACAGTTCTCATATCCCACTTCCCCCACCCCCATCCTTAGCCCCTGGCTAGCTAGCTGTGTGACCCAAGGAGGTGTGAACATGACAAAGGCTTTTGGTTCATGCATTTTTGAAATTCATATTTATAAACTACATTGTGCTATGCCATTCTTTTCCTACTAAAAGCCTCTTATCTTATCTTCTAATTCCATGAAGCTAATTTTACCACACTAATCAATTAAACAAGGTTGCTGGATTTCTAAGAATGCAATATAATGGTATGAGGTGATATATTTACTGTTTAATTGGTGGCATTAAACCTAACCTTGTTATGTGAAATGTGACTGTTCTCTTTTGGATGGAAATTGCAGTTGTAATTTAATTAGGAGGATACTACAGCCTTTGGACGTACACATCCTGGGAGAGCAAATTGCCCATCTCTTTATTTTAGAGATTAAGCATACGCTCAGGAAAGAGGATGTCTGTTCCTGAGCACACATAATCCCTACGGTACCATCAGTCATTTAGGGAGGTCAGGCTGGCATTGGATAAAAGTGCATCTTATTTGGAGTCAGAGGACCTAGATTCAAATGCTGGTCTGTTGTTTACTCTTTGTATGACTCTGGGTAAATCATGTGACTTATTTCAGTCACAGTTTCCTCATCTGTAAAGTGAAGGGTTTAGACCAGAAGATCTTTAAGGTCCCTTTCAGCTCTGGATGTAGGAACCTCTGATTTATTTATTTCCTCCCTTCTTAAAGCCCATTAAATTTCTTCTGATTTCCAGCCTAGGCTATTTTAACATTCATTTACGAAAGTGGGCCCCCTGGTTCTTTTCTTCTTGTCTGGAATCTCATTTTTTCCTCTTTCCCTGTTTACATTCACCATGTGTGGTCCTCAGCTGCCTTACCCTGTGTTCATATTTTAGACATATCAAGGGTGGTTTCTTTCTTCAGGTCATTTTCACTTTGGTCTAACAAACCGACAAGTGGTGTTCATGATATCCTTTTCACTGGCCTATTTTTTGATATGTGACTCTAAAAAGAAATGACTTACCTCATCTGGCTGTGTTTCTTTCTCTGCAGTCTTACTAATTTAAGTTTTTCTTTTTTTTTGAGGGACATTTTTTTTATTGCCCATAATTCTTGTTTTGTATTCAAAGAGAATTATTTTTAAATATTTTTAAATGAAAGCCATGCCACAATTCCCACAACATGGGATTGATTATTTCATGTGCAGCAGGGTTGGTATGGCAATGTATGTTTGTAGAGTTATTATAATAAAGGCAGCCTATCTAGTTAACAATAACAATAAAGAATTAAATCATTATTGTTATTTCCACTATGATTCTTCTTGCTTTGGGGTAGACTTTTGTTTGCCTAACCAAAAGGAGATATGTAGAAGCTAAAAGGAGTGTTGTGAAGAGTGGGCAGTTACTATCCTAGAAAGGCAAGGTGTAAAGGGGTGCGTGGATGGATAATTGGGTCATATACATTGCTAAGGTTGTCTTCTCTCAGCTCCCTCCTTTTAGAGGAATATCTGCAGAAATTAAGAGGAAGAAGGGAAAGAAAGGATCAGGAAGAGCAAGAACAGGGTTTAGTAAACCTTCACTTACGTGTTCTCAGGACCAGGATCTGCAGAAGAGTGAAAGTCATCTCATCTGGCTCCCAAATTACTAGGTGCTTTTAAGGGACCTGTCCCATATTTGCAATTCTGACTCAATAACAGGCTGCAAAACTGCAGGCAAAGTAGGTGTTTCTGGATAAAAGCTACCATTGACATGAGCATTACAGTATTTATCAAAACACAGATAATTCTTAAACCCAATTAGTCAATATTTAAGACATG